CATGAGTAACCAATCGGAAGCTCAGATTGTCCCCCTAGTAGATTTCTAAGCCTTTCTAATGTGGCTAGTGCCATTTATTTCTTTTGAATCAAGATTTCAGTAAGGTAGGTTGTGTCTTTAGTCTGCTCGAAATTTCATATTTTTTTAAGAGTAAAATACATCTTAGTTACTAAGCTTGATAAATTATAGTTGAATTCTATGGTATTGATGTAGTAATTTATGATTTTTTAGTTATTCAAAAGTATATATAAAACCTAAAAAAAAATTTTGTTTCATATCCTCCACGTGCAAAATTTTTAAAGGCTTAGCAACCTACATCAAGCAGCAACCGAGTATAAAGGTCGTAACTTGAAGAGATAATTGTTTGCTTTACTTCTTTATTTACTGTTCTATGTTTTATGAAAAATATGTTTAAGAAGTTATTTCAAAATAGCAATAATCTATATACATATACAATGTATAATAATTGAAATGTGACTGTATTTTACAAAATACTAGACAAGTAAAACAGAGCCAAGACAAGTTTCTTTGTACAGACCAAAGGTCAGTTTTATGTTATTTGATATGGTAACATGAGTGCATGTGAGCCACTGCATTGTAACTTCTGTATCGTTAGCCAGACACGGGTGAAAGGTCAATATAATAAAAATAATAAATATATATAAATGTATGTTATGAGATTTAAGCTATTCCATCTAAACATTTATGTTTTCGAGTTATAATTTGTGTTCATTCTAGAATGAAAGAGGCATAATTTATGTTTGTTTCCTAATTTTTTCATGGTGGTTGCACAATTGGTCAAATTCACCAAACCCGTACAGAGATTAATTACTGAAAATAACAGATAAAATATGAAGTTTTTTCTTAAGAAATATTTGATAACTATCCGGACATTATAAAGATTTCGCATGTGAAATTTGAAAATTTTTTGATGCATAAAAGTATTTTTAATCTTAAAATGAAAATTACTTTGCAAGATAGATAAGCAAGATGGGAAAAGAAAAAAAAGGCATGAGAGAAACATTGCTGTACAAACCTTAAGACTTAATAAAAAAATCAGATATTTTGCTTATGAAAACATTGTAATGTTTAATGATAAACTGCCCAATTTCGTTAACATTCGCATACTAATTTAAAAGTTATAGCATGCAAACTATAACAAGCACAAAATGGTTACGAGGTCGTCACACTGACTGACCCCATATTGAAAGTGTTAAAACAAAAAAGCAAGTTCGAACACAAACACTGCCAAACAAGAAGTGATAGTTTGGTAGATGAGTGTAGAGGGTGTCACATGTGTCATGTGAGCATGTCATGCTCCTATTGGTGAGGAGGTGATGCATGATGATTTACATAAAAGACATGTTGGAATCTTGCAATTCCAATAGGAGGGGAATGGAAGGCTTGCAGCTTGCATAAAAAAAAAGCTTGCATATAGAAGGCAACACTGAATGAGAATATCTAATCTTTTGAGAAAAGGTAAGTACCATATCGGAAATTTAATTGCTTTCCAGCCTTTGGAGTTGTTCAAACAAAGTTTTCGTAAGAGGAATTACATTTTTTGACCACCCCTGGTTACCTTTCAGGCTCCTTCTGGACCTGAAAGTATTCAAACCAAAATACCTATCAAGGAATTTTGCTTTGCTGTTTTCCCATGGACACCAGATTGCAATATCCCAACAGATTGGTAAGCAGCTTTGTTCTCGGCTTCGCCGCTCACTAGCATGGGTCCTTTGGGATAGTGCAATCAAGTAGGGGTACCTTAGCCACGACAGCCTTGGCAAAGGCTATGAACCATCTGGAACACATCATCTTGGACACACATTACTTGATCTGTATACACAATACATACACACACATACATGTACACACTGCTTGTTAGGCATGATAAGCGATAAGTGCTGAATATATCATACACCAGTGCAGCTAACACAAACGTCTTCGAGCTAAACATTCGTTGCATGGGCATTTACAGTGACAATGTTTGTGGATTGTACATGACTGACAAGTGTTCATAAATTTGAAAAAGGTCCATTCAGGGTTTGTCATAAGTTCTGCTTGGTTAAGAAACGCTTAGATCAATTTATGTGGAGTCAAACTTTTAATGGCTCTTTTGATTTTAAGGAGCCATGCAGGCTACCTAGCAAACACTTTTTATGGGCACGCCATCAATTTTGGGGGCAATTGTCTCCCAGGCCCCCACTAATTTCGAGCCCTGCATTGATATTAGCATCCCAAAATAATCATTTTAATACTGCAGACTATTTATTAGTTACTAGCTGAGTTACCCAGCGTTGCACGGTGAAAATTTAGATTTGAAATGTATAGATCAGTATTTTTTTCAGCAAATTATTCGGTAAGTAGACAAAAGCTGTGATGCAAGAAATAAAAAAGCATTTAATCAAACAAAGCTTTATTTGAAATTAGATCGTGTTTGAGCTTGTCTTGTTCTTTGAGCCTGAAGTCGTACATCTTGATGCTCTTCTGTTTCTTACTCTCTGTAAGTTATTTGTCTTCATTTTTGTGCTTGAAGTCTGGTTTGACGTTGTTCAGAAGTTTCTTGTTGTCTATATCCAGCTTGCCTTGATGATTCTGACTGAACTCTGGCTTTATGCTGTTCAACAGTTTCTTGTTGTCTTTGAGTAGCCTGCCTTTCAGTTTGAGCTCGAAGTCTAACTTTACGTTGTTCCAAAGTCTCTTCCTGTATTTGAGTAGCCTGTCTTGCAGCTTGTGCTTGAAGTCTTTGATTGCGTTCTTCTTCTGTTTCAGCTGCTCTTTGTACTTGCATTCTTTTAGCGGCAGAAGACTTTCAATAGAAAAGGCGTTTCTTAAGTGGCAT